GCGCTGGGGTTAAGATGTCAGTATCGCTTGTTTCCTCATCGCATAGCACGGATGAAACATAAGATTCCTTGACGTTGACGGCCCTTGCTGCTGGAATGACGCGCCTTACCTGATTCCGATAAACAACAACAACAGAAGCCGATAAGAAAAGTCGCTTTGAAATTCAAGAACGAAGTCAATTGAAATTGAGTTGGGAAGCGCTTGGTTTGTTCGTAAATATCGTAACAGGCCTGCAATGATGCGTCACAAGGGGGGGAAAGGAAGTATAAAAAAAAAAAAAAAAAAAAAAAAGAGGAGTAGCACGTTCCAAAAATATTTGCCGATTCGTTAATATTGAAGTCCCTTTGTTCCGTGTAATAGTAGGGATAATAAATGCGATAACGAAGGGATATAGAACGACGTCCGATGGGGAAGAGATAGGGTAACAAAAGAAATGGAAATACAAGGAGGGGGGAACCAAAATACACCATCCACCACCGGACCACGGAAGGGAAGTACTGTTACTGTCAAAGAGATCGAAGGATGAAGAGGTAAATAGACTTTGTTAAGTAGTAAGACATCGGGACTTGGATGGCGATGGTGGAGGTCGAGGTTCCATGTTGACATTTGCTGGCGGGAGTCTCCATAGCAACACTTGTTTCGGCCTCGCCGCCTGAGCGCATTGGTGGCCTTGACGCCTGGGGCCCAGGTTGCGGCTCCGATCGCTCTAGACCTACCTTGGACTAGTGTGGGATCGCCAGGTGGCCCGAGCTTCTTCTGCCTTGATTTTCTTATCCAAGGATTTTTCTTGGAAGCGGGTAAGGAGGAGATTTCATCATCCGTCATATTTGGGAAATTCTATTCCCATCGTCAACGTCTCACCACCATGAATCGGCTAGGCAGGATGTCCCTAGTGGTTCGTCCCTCAATATGTCTGCTTTGCCGGAGCGGGACCCCTAGTACTCTCCTTCCTTCGGGCGTATCGCAGGTCGCGCGCTCTATGGCCACAGCTCGACTCCGTCGGAAGGCTGCTCGCATGGCGCTGTCCCCAGATGTCGCCAAGTCATCGATCAATCAGAAACGCTCGGGCAAAGACAAGTTCGGACCATGGTCAGGAATGAACCAGACCGAAGCTCATATTCGAGGTGAGCCACGGTCTCGGTCTCAAGCGGCCTTGAGACGCTCGGGAGAGAAGGCGGCGGATACACCTCGGAAAAGCGACAGCCCCTTGTACAAAGCTCTAAAGATGCAGACCACGCTTGCTCCTGTCCCTTATGGCCGTAGGACTGCGGTCAAATCTAAGATTGCCGACATTACCAGCTTTGATCACTTCCCGCTCCTACCAGTTGTTCGCCACTCAATCTTCTCTCAAGCTCTTCCCGGTCTGGTCGATGTCACCCCCACTCCTATTCAACGTCTCGCAATTCCCAAGCTTATGGAAGATTCACCGGATGGAAAGCGAGGGACTAAACTTGAGGATGGAGAGCCTCACTATGACCAGTACCTTCTGGCAGCGGAGACGGGCTCTGGAAAGACGTTGGCGTACTTGCTCCCTTTGGTTGACGCCGTTAAAAGATTAGAAGTTGAGGATAAGGAGAACGAGAGGAAAGAGGAGGAGCGAAAGGCAAAGGAGAAAGAGGAGAGATTGAAGAACCGGGCTTTTGATCTTGAGCCTGAGGAGCCACCACTGTCCAATGCCGGAAGACCGAGAGTGATAATTCTGGTGCCAACGTCAGAGCTGGTTGCACAAGTAGGTGTCAAGGTTAAGGCGCTTGCTCACACAGTTAAATATCGATCTGGCATGATCTCGTCCAACTTGACTCCTCGCCGGATCAAGAGTACCCTGTTTAACCCAGACGGTATCGACATCCTCGTTTCGACTCCTCACTTGCTTGCATCGATCGCCAAAACGGAACCTTACGTGCTGAGCCGGGTCAGCCACTTGGTTCTCGATGAAGCCGACTCACTTATGGACCGATCTTTCTTACCAACAACGACCGAAGTTATTAGTAAGGTAGCGCCGTCGCTCCGCAAGCTTATTCTGTGCTCGGCTACGATTCCCCGCAGTCTCGATAATTTGCTACGCAAGCGCTACCCGGACATCAAAAGACTGACTACACCCAACCTGCATGCGATCCCACGTCGTGTACAACTAGGAGTGGTGGACATCCAGAAAGACCCCTACCGAGGAAATCGAAACTTGGCTTGCGCTGACGTGATCTGGTCGATTGGAAAAGCTGGTGATTCCGAGCCCTCGGACCCATTCGCATCTTATGTTGGACCGAGTAGTAAGAAGATCCTTGTGTTCGTCAATGAACGTGAGGAAGCCGATGAGGTGGCCCAATTCTTGAGGTCAAAGGGGATTGACGCCCAGTCGCTTTCTCGGGACTCCAGCGCCCGGAAGCAAGAAGAGATTCTCGCCGAGTTTACCGAGTCAGCACCTCCACCCAGCCCAGACGAAATCATGTTAGCCCAGAAGAAGAGACGTCAAGAGGATGCCATTCCCTTTGAACTCCCCGAGAACCACAACAAAGCCGAGAATGTTCGCCGATTGGCTAACACCAAAGTGCTCGTTACCACCGACTTGGCATCCCGAGGCATTGACACACTCCCCGTTAAAACTGTCATTCTATACCACGTCCCGCACACGACGATCGATTTCATCCACCGTCTGGGACGTCTCGGTCGGATGAACAAGCGTGGTCGCGGTATCGTGCTGGTTGGAAAGAAGGACCGTAAGGATGTTGTGAAGGAAGTTCGTGAAGGTATGTTTAGAGGACAAGCATTGATCTGAGGGGCGTCAAATGGACACAATCAATTTCAACGTACAAGGACCGGCGTTAGGACATGGCGACAATTTGGCATAACGGACAGTAAATATATGTACAGCACGTCTTCAAGCATGAAATGTATAATATTGTACAATAGATAGTAAAGTATAGATACGAAATTCACCCACGCTCTCTTCTATTAATAGCCTCTGAGGCTGTACCTCTTGATTCCACATAGATATCCAGAAGCTATACTACACCGGAATCCTTTTTCCAATCGACATCCAGAAGTCGCACCTCTCCTTCAGCAGCACCAACTCTGCAGTTTCGAATCCAGTCTCTGTTACAACAAATTCATCGCCAGTACTCCGGAGCATCGGCACGCCCGGCTGCGAAGAATTCGTCAACTTATGCGCGTTGGGATTCCCGGTCTGAAAAAAACTGGCGAAGGCACCGGCGTAGCCTTTGTATATTAGTTCATCCGTCTGTTGGATCGAGTTGACCTGATTCCACTAAGGTAGACTGTCAGTAAAATCTCTGCGATGACCCATATAGCGAAAATATACAGATACTGTGGGCTGAGAAAAACATACATAAATGGTATCACTGGCATGCTGCGCAGGCGAGATAGTATATTCACCCACATAACCCTCCGTTTTGGCAGCCGATGCTATCCAATACACTGGACAAGCGAGAACAACATCCCTGTAGATGAGGCCTGCACGCACATACGTGGAGTTGTACAGATTGAGAGTCTCCGTCCGCCCTACAGGAGGGTAGTACTTCGACTCAACAAGGTGTATCTGCTCGGAAGACAGTCCGGGCAAAAACCCCACCAGCCATTGGTGGAAGCTGGGAATAGAAGAATTGAATCCATTGGTCGTGTTCTGCGAGCGCAAGCCAGTTGGCACGAAATTCTCGCCTTCGTGGCTGTTGTACATCCCGAAGACGAGATCTGTTTGGAGCGAGTTGCTCGCCACAGCCTCCGTAAGAGTGTCGAAGAGGAACTCACCGTCGATGACTGGGCCCCAGGTGAATGTGCTTGTTGTATACTTCTGGCTTTCGCTGATGATTAGGTTTGCCTCGCGTATGGTCTGGACATCGACTGCTTTGAGACAGGTAAGGGTATCTGTTGCGTTCGCGCAACCGGTCAGGTTGGTCAAATGTTCGTAGATTGCCTCTGCTTCAGGAGCATAGTAAGCATAAGTTTTGGGCCAGAATGGTGAGCTCGCCAGAGCTTTTGAAAAGAGCTTTGGCTGTTTGCCTCGGCCGTTCGCTAGCACCTGAGCAACTACTGAGCCTCCTCCGGCGGATTGTCCCCAGATGGTGACGTTGTGGGGATCACCACCGAAGTGATGGATGTGCTTCTGAACCCACTTCAGAACAGATTGCTGATCAAGGAGCCCCGGGTTTAGATCCGATATGGGTGATTCCTTGACGGCTCGTCCCGGGAGAAAGCCGAACGCGTTCACACGGTAGTTGGAATAGATGACCACATAGTCATTCAGGGTACTAGCATTGAGGACAGGATAGGATGACGGCGGTAAGGTAAAGGAGGCACTCCCTTGAATAAAGCCACCGCCGTAAAACACCACCAAAACAGGCCGTTTTGTCGAAGCTGTAGAGGCGGAGCGGACATCCCAAGGTCGGGAGAACAGGCCAAGGTACAAGCAATCCTCGGAACCGTTAACGGTACGTTGCGGACACATGTCAAAATCCTGATCGGCATCATACACATCGTCTAGTATTCTCAGGGGAGGCTGAGGGGCACGAAAGCGATTCTCTCCTGTTGGCGGGGCTGCAAATGGAATCTTACGGAAGTACGAAAGGTTGTAGGTCGAGTCATATCTGCCCTGGAATACTCCATAGTCGAGGCTAATGAGAGGATTCTCGTAAGCTCTGGCAACGGAGATCGTTAGAATGAAATAGAGAGTAAGCAGATGGTGGATGAGGAGCGCCATAACTGAAATGAATTTTCTCACCACGACGACCAACGCATGCGGAAACGATAGACATGCTCGCAAGCTCTTTTATACTCATCTTCAAGACGGCCTTTTTGCAAAATCGGTGGGAAATATACCGAGAATCGTATTTTCACTCAAGCGGCAAGAGACGAAGGGACTAAAGCTGGAGGAACGGAGACATAGCGGAACGCCATTGGTGCAGGAATATTCTCCAGCTTCCATTAAATCTCCATGAAATACGCGGGGTGCAGTCGAATAAATGCGGGGAAGAATCAACAAGAACGAAGGAGCCTCCACCTGTTCTGTCTAATTAAGTAAACTCGGTGTTTTCTTGTGGAATCTTAATATGTCTGTTGTACACCAAAGGGACTTGAAATATCCCGATTAAAGATATGCAAGAAGTTGCTGCCCCCCAAATCGTGATGTTGTTCAGCAAACATAACAAAATTAATGAACGAAGGACTTTGAAAAGATAAGAGAGGTCTATACGTCATAACCAGAAGAAGCAACTGGCAAAGGGAAAAAGAAAAAAGAAAAAGAAAAGGATCATCTAACCAGTCCCAACAAGCCCTATTAATCGCACCGTGTCCAGGTATAAATCAAACGCCAACTGCAAATAAAGAGTTACCCGAAACTCCTACTCAGCATCCAACCATTGCCTATTAATCGGTTACACATCATCATCGTTACATAGTCATCCGAAGTGAATGAGTCCGTCTCCTGCTCGCTCTAGTGTTGCGCCGGTCATCGCACGCTTCACTGTCTTCGGTCTCCGTTCGTGGTTCAGATAATTCCGGGGTGGGAGTGACGCCAAAACTGACTCCACGATCTTTGCGAGAGACGCGGGCTTCTTCCTCCGGATACAGGAATCTATGAACAGTCCGATGATCCATCACTCGCTCCTCGTCATCCATTGGGCCCTCTTTATCCGTCTTTGGCCAGCGGAAACCGTATAGCATTGAATGACGCTCACAGCGGGGACACTCTCGCCGAGTAAGATATGAATTCTGCTGCACAAACCAAACATTACAAGTATGGCAGTCTACCCATCGATCGTAGGCTTGCGCAAGCAACTTGGAGGTTTTCGTGTAGTCACCAGGGACCCGAACACGGTGCGACTCTTCCTCCACCGATGGGACAACGCTATGCTTCCAGCGAGAACCCGTCGACCTTTTCGGTTTCTGGGGAGTCTCAATTAACTCGGACAATTCTGACAACACGTCGTTGCTAGTTCCCGGTAGGTGTATATCGCTGTGAGGCTGGCCTGTGACGGAAAGTGTCTGATGGGTCGCCGTCGTCGAGGCTGACCCAGGAAGGGAAGCCTCCACCGTATCCTCCACCTTGATCTTGACATCACCGATTGATGTCGGTGTGGTTGACGTTGACGAGTGCTGCGACTCGTCGGCCTCGAGCGAAGGTGAATCACAGTCAGTAGTACACGCTTGAGTGACCTCCGCAGCAGAACCGCTTGCAGGTAGAATAGTATCGTTGGTTATACTTGCGGCTCCCGTGGTTTCAGGCAGAATTGAAGTCTCTGCTTGGAGTGTTGGATTACCCGACCCTGAACCAACAGAAGGAGCAAAATCTGCAAGCGATACTGCTGATCGTAATTTAGAGCTCTGGCGTGTAAACTTACTCCTCTTCCTAGGCGTACTTGAGGGAGAGATATCTGAATCACTATCTAAATGATGCTTGCGCTTTCTGGGTGAAAGTAAACTGTCGTTAGATGTCGCTTCATCGTTCAAAGCTGGAGTAGATGCCTTGCTTGACCCTTCCTCGGAGTCAACATGAGGTGCCCAGCCATTGCGGACTGCCCGTTCACATGTTAGGCAAAGACACTCGCAGTTGTCGATACCGAAGTAATCGTCGCCATATGATACAGTGATCTCTTCTCCTATGTAGATATCTCGAGTAGCCACAACTTGCATGCCCTCCGATCCCCGTGTTACCAATCGGCCGTTAGCATTGCAGTCATGGTTGGCAAAGCGAGCGGGTCCGAGAAAAAACGACGGCGTTTTTCTCCGACTAGACATGACAATGCTGAAATCCTTCCTCTTCAGATCCAATTCCTGCTCTTCTTCGCGGGTCATGGGGACAAGCGTCCCACTAAGGTACTTGATTTCCTGGCCTTGTTTGATGAATTTTCTAGCACAGATTGCCGCCTCATGTTCGGTAATCGTGTAGCGATTGGTCGTAGTAACTTCGAAGGGCGAGTCAGGGAGATACATTTGTATGTACTTGCGCAGGTGCCGGCGAAACCATTCCTTTTCGCGGTCATTCGGAAGCTTAGCCAAGTACTTCTTCATGCCGGACATTGCTAGCAACTGCTTTTCCGCTTGCGCAGAATCCTTGGCAACAATGACATCGTGAAGGAGAATACGAGCGACATCATCCTCATGTATCCCTCTCACGGGAATATATTTCGTTCGATTTTTGCGGGTATTGGTCCAGAAATAGGCCTGCGGTGTGAGCCATATTAGATACAATCCAAAGAGAGTGCCTCTGAGTGAGATGGCGTACCCGGTCAACCAGCGCATCCGTCGCGACATCGTCATAGCTGGCCAATTTCGCAAGAGTAAGACGGTCGCGACGCTCCACAGAGGGACTGTCTCTTGCTTTCGACGACGGCATGTCAATCTGCGAGTTCACCAATTTCCCATATAAAGAATATTTGTGGTGTGGTGAAGAATTTGTCTTAATTGGTTGGTGTTAAGTGATGTGTCTATATGTCAAAGGAGGAACAATAGGAAAAAGCGGGAATAGTACTATTAACACCAAGGGGGCTTAGAACTTTCGAAAAGAGCGTGATGGTGAAACAATTATTAGATAGGATAAGAAAAATCCAGCTCAACAGGCATAATGAAAAGGAAGAAAAAAGCCCCCCAGGGGAAGTTAGCGCGCACGAATGGGAAAGTGGGCGACTATCCAAGAGGCTCCAAGCACGACACACACGGCTGTGTTGCCCAGTTAATTAAATAAATGCGACTTAAAATGAGTTGGACGCTGCCTCCTGCAGCAGCAGCGCCCCGTCCGCCGTCCGGGGTCGGTGGTCGGCAAAACCTTTCCGGTCCGGACGTGCTGGAAATCTTTCGGACGGATAAGTCTACCCTTTATCTGATACTTTGGCCGTTCCCCCCTCAGGGCATGCGATCAAGATGATTCAACTAAAGGTAACCATGCGATTTTGTCCTTTTCCGAAATTCTGGACTCCCTTGGCTAACAATCACCCATCAGACGATGCTGAATTGCATCGACAACTCCGGTGCTGCAGTTGTCGAGTGCGTGAATGTTCTGAAGAAGAAGCGGCCGGCCACAGTCGGTAGGTTTCAAGTTTTCTCTCGTTCTCTCTCAATTTTCTCTCAATTTTCCCTACCGATACAGTTCTGACGCCGATCGATTTGATGGGAATTAGGTGACCGAATCGTCGTGGTGGTTCAGAAACAGCGGAACTTTGGCCCCGAAAGCTCGAACAACAGTGGTATTGCAAACAAAGTCCGTCGCGGAGATATTCGTCATGCCGTCGTTGTCCGGGCGAAGAAAGAAATGCAGAGGCCAGATGGATCCATTGTCAAGTTCGATGATAATGCCTGCGTGTTGGTGAACAAGTCTGGAGACCCGATCGGAACAAGAATGAACGGTGAGTATCCTTATCCTGATGCCTGTATTGCTAGGTTCTGACCTACATCACAGGAGTCGTGGCTACGGAACTACGAGGAAAGCAATGGTCGAAAATTTTGTCGTTGGCACCGATGCATGTATAATATCCTTATGAAAGCGAAGCGTCTATTTACATAACTACTCTGTATCAATAGAATTATCCCTTGAAAAAAACTTCTTTTTTTATTACTCGGACATCGCCGTAACTCCATAACCATGCTGAAAAGGACCAATACTGGGTATCGAAAACACGACGGTAAAAAAAGACGTTCCAAATCATACGAAGACGTTGCCGCACGCGCAACAGACATAGTAAAGTTTCTGAAGAGTATGTCAGTCACTCGTTTGAAGATTCCGGTCAGAAGATCTCTCACCATTCCGGTTTCTGCAGATCGCTGCTGAGACTGGAAAAAGACCGCTTCGGCTTCGCCGCAGCTTGGGCAGAGCTTGTTCGACCGAGGAAGCTAGAACGAGAAAGAGCATGTTAGCCACGGAAATTGCAAGATCACTTGGAATCTCTCCATGACACAGATTGGAGCCCTTTCTCAAAGCATTGGAAATCCCTCGTAATCATATTCGGACAACTCATCTTCAGAGGGCTGGCCGCATGAAAAACAAGTGATCTCCTCCCCGCAATGAGCACAGAAACCTGGGAGACAAACCGTAGGATCAGATCCCACATCCTGAGTCACACCAGCTGTGTCTCCAACTTGACTGTTGAGCTTGTTTTGATAGACGCAGTATGAGCTTGCCGGCTCGCCGACATGGCAGGTTCGGCACGTAAACATCAAACGGTTGTTGACGCGGTCTTCTTTCGGGTAAAGCAAATTCGAGCTATAGGAGCGCAATTAGCAAAATCGTCAATATAAGAGGGCCAAGAATGGTAGCGCCTACCATTCGCGACAAAAACGAAAGTGGACCTGTTCATTGGTCTTGCTATCGCCACCGGCGGAAGGAGATGGGCTGGCAGACATTTTTCTGAAAGCTAAAGATTCGTCGAGGAGCTCGAGCAAATAGTTTGGTGATAGGCTTGAAAAGAGATTTCAAAGAGATTTCAAGTAGTTGCAAATATGAAAGGTGTTCACGTTATACGGAAATGTTGGTGGCGAAAGGTAATGCCTGGTACTAAGAATAATACCTGCGATGGAAGTCCGAAGAAGGCCTACAGGGAAGTTGCACTAGTCACGATCGGAGTGCACGGACACAGCCTTATTGATGATGTTTGTACTGTTGGCGCTGTTTGCATGCTTTGTGTTTGTCCCTCATTTCCCCCGCAGTCTGTCCCGCAGGAGCTGCCACGGCAATTATTACTTGCATTTATTCTTCTTATTTCCTGCAATCCTGCATATCCTGAAAAGCCTCCTTTAATAAAGCTTGTAATCCCATACCACACTTATCTAAAATCATCATGGTACGCTTTAGATCATAATCACTCAACGGTCAACCACTATTAAAGCTTTATACTAATTTGAAATCGGCTTTTTCTAGGTTGAGACAGGTCTTCCTGCCGGATGGGAGGTCCGCCATTCTAACTCCAAGAACCTCCCTTATTACTTCAATCCCATGACAAAAGAATCGCGTTGGGAGCCTCCATCAGGCACTGATACGGATACGCTCAAGGTTTACATGGCCAACTACCATAGCGGGCCCACCAGTCGGCCTGATGGCACAGGTCAGGGTGAAGGGAAAATCCGCTGCAGCCACCTTCTCGTCAAGCATAAGGAGAGCAGACGGCCCAGCAGCTGGAGAGAGTCAGAGATTACTCGGTCCAAGGAGGAGGCGATTGAAATCCTTCGTGGCCATGAAGCGCGCATCAAGTCGGGCGAGGTCAGCTTGGGAGATCTTGCGATGTCAGAATCAGACTGTAGCAGCGCCAGGAAGAGGGGTGACCTGTATGTACATCCTTTATCATCCATAAGCTCGTTACCATGTGAAGTTAACATTATATTAGTGGCTTCTTTGGACGTGGAGAAATGCAGAAGGAGTTCGAGGACGCTGCCTTTGCCCTACAGCCCGGTCAGGTCAGCGGTATCGTTGATACGGCTTCAGGTGTCCATCTCATTGAACGGTAAGCTGAATATATAGCTTGTAAATGTATCTGGATGAACTTGCTAACGGTTCTGATCTATCGCATGCAGAATTCAATAAATTTGGTGGCCTCCTATTTCGATACATAAACATAAACACATTTAGAGAGAAGACCAATACCTGTGTGATATACTTCTCTTTCCCCTTCGTGTGGGGCCTATATATCAACTTTTGTGAAAGACGCATCTGCTCATGATATTGTATACCGGAGCGATAATTACTGATGGTCACACACGCTGGCAGTCAATAACCTCCCCGTCTGCAAGATTTCATGACCCCCACCAGCAGCAAACAAACCCTAGTAAATCCAGATTTTGAATTACAATTGAACATGACCATTGTATCTCACCGAGGGAAAATAGTAGTAAATTTTATTAGTAACTTACAGGTGAAGTCATCATTTTATTATATAGTTGGTCTTCACGCCGAGTCGACTTTAGATGGCACAGCGATGTATGCGCCTTTATTGGCAAAGCCACTTACTTCTATGCACTCCATGACATTTAAACTTTAGATAAAATACTAACCATATATTATAACTTTATGCTATATATATTGCAGCAGTAAAGGAAATTTCCATATATGATCCATCCATTGAGAGTGTTGCTTCCTAATCGTAGTATGTTGCCAAGGTAGGGCAGGATCTAGTCATGTGCTACATTACTATTTATATAACCATGCCATATATAGTACCTAGTAAACACAGTCACAAAGACTAGCGTATCAAATATATGTGTCTCTGTCGATAGGATCATTTAGTGTTTTGGACTAACTTGCTAGTAATCTATTAATATTTTGTTTAACAACTCACGAAGCCCTGAGATGTTGTTACTCAGCTGTTTTCGTATTAGCGTTGCCATTCCGGTATTCAAGATTATAGTGATATGGAAAGAGGAAAAATAAAAGTACAACAGAAGCATAGTGATCCCCTCAGTGGGAAGCGCTTTCGAAATAAAACGGAGATATGGTGGAGGGCTTGGGCAAAGTGGTCTTCCCCTCCCTCTCCCTCGACTTT